CAACTATAACGTATTTATATAAATAAGATATATATATATATATATATATATATATATATATATATATATATTGGTTCAAAAATTGAGTGCAAAAAGAAAATTGGGGAAGGTGACAAAAGCATTGAGCATTTCTATTCTTTATTTCTATTAGTTTCAATGCTATTACTTTATTACAAAAAAAAAAAAAAAGTTCAGTTAGAAAAATAAAATAATATGATTAATCTATTTGCAATTATTATGACACGCAAAAGAAACGTCATCATGTTTAGCAAATTATCTTCCTAAGCAATCTGCAACTAGAAAATATTATAAAGAGAAGTAACCCAAAAAAAAAAAAAAAATAGGAGAAAGGCTTCTATTGCATAAATCATTAGCATTGACTCCGCCAGATGGGAGCAGGTTTAGGAATTTCTTTATAAGATACAGATAGTATGACTCCGTAGAATGGAGCCCAAAAATATAAAAAAAAAATTCAACTTAGAGCCTTTCCAAAGATCTTAGTGGCAATAGCAATTTTCAGAGCCTTTGAAGATGGTTGGAAAATTACTTTGACATATTCTTTCGTATGTTTAGCCGCTAATTAGGGAAGTTTTATTTTAGACAACTTTTGATAAGATTATTCTCCAAAGTAATTACTGTTTTACATAAAATTCAGATACAGTAAAAAAAAGTTACATTTAGTCAAAAACTTAAACAAAAAACAGTAGTATGTGCCAGGTGAACCATCTGCTATTTCTAGCACTAACTGACATTCCAACAGTGAGTGCCTGTAAATTTACATGCTAGTTGTATATTAATCTTAAACCACAAGCAGTACTAGCATTAGAGACAATAAATAAAACAAACATAACCTTATCCTTATTAAACAAATAAGAGGTTCACATATATAAACATTTCTGCAACTTAATAAATTCATGAATCATGATAATAATACTATTTCTTTGGCTAACTTCAATCATATAATATTACAACATATATTCATATCATAATGTTTATCTGCATGCAAATCCAAAGCAAAAACTTACATGTCTTGTTCACGCTCATTGGCTAGAGCAGCCTTGGCAATACACAGGAATGCAGCATCAACATTGTAATCCTCTTTTGCAGATGTTTCAAAGTAGGGAATATTCCCTTTTGAAGCACACCAATCCTTTGCTTTCTTCTCAGAAACCTGCGTTTAAGATAAGTAAACATTTTACATTTACACAGACAAAATAAGGAAACTTAGAAGCATAATATTATCTGCCTAGTGCCTACCACTCGACTATTCCCTCCGTCAATGTCGATCTTGTTTCCAAGCAAAATAAATGGAAAAGTCCTCGGATCAGGAGGGTTTGCCTGCACCACAAGGAGAACATAAGTCTGAATAGAAAACCCATCTAGCATAGTCCAATATTGGTAGGCTATGAAGCACGGATACTTCAATTTGTTTATCCGATACGTATCCGACACGATACTCTTGGATACTTCACCGATACGTGTCAATGAAGTATCCTAGCCTTTAAAAATATTATAAAAATTTTATTTAATTTTGATACTTTCAGATACTTCACCGATATTTATTAGTGATACGTATCAATAAAGTGTTCAAATTTTTGAAAAATTATGAAATATCCATTACAACTAAATAAGATATATAAACATGTTTAATATAGAAACATAGAATTATTGGTCCTTGATGAACACGTATCTTACAAGTATCGTATCCTATATATTTTTAAATATCGTATCACCGTATCGGATACGTGTCGTATCCGATACGCATATCGTATCGGTGCATCATAGTTGGTAGGTCATACATAAGAGTGAGACAGATCCATTCAATTGGAAGGCAAATCAAAAGAACCATTTGTCAACATCACGAGCACAAGCTAGATAAGAGTCAAACCAGTAAGAGATAGAGCATCTAGAAAAGGACAAGAACAACCTGTTTGAGAAACTCCTCATGCCAGTTGTCAAGGGTATCAAACGACTTCATCACATTCACATCATAAACCAGAACACAGCAATCCGCCCCTCTATAAAACGCAACCCCGAGACTTTGGAATCTCTCTTGACCAGCAGTGTCCCATATCTACCAATCAAACACAACAACACATTGGAACACAACACAATTTCCACAACAACCTCAAAACAGAAAAATACAAAAGAATACTGAAATACCGTTGAAATAGGAAACGAAACCCACTTGTAGAGTGACAAGTCTGTCGTCAATCTGAAGCTCTTTAGTGACAAAATCAGCTCCAATGGTGGCCTTATATTGCTGACTAAACTTCTTGTGCACGTATCTACGGAGTTAGTTAAGGTCCACACATGGCTAAATTCCAAAAATAAAAATAAAATCATGAAATGAAATTAACCTAAAACGCAAAACTGATAAACTTTACAGATGCACTAATCATGAAAAATCATTATAAATGAAAGTGAATCTGAAAAGCGGTGACATAGTGCGAGGCGAGTGGCGCGTGAGGATACTGATTCATCAACGAGGTTTTTCCCACCCTGGCAATGGCAATGAAGGGATTAGATGGTGCGTTTCCGAAAACGGTGTTGCAGGGAAAATCCAGAGAACGTACCCGCTATCGCCGAGGACAATGACCTTGAGCAGGGTTCGTCTGCGCAACGACATAGCTGCTTACGGTGGGGGCGCGACCTTTGATTGATTCCTTCGCTTCTTTATTGAGGGATTTGATTCGGAGTCAACTGCGAGCGCAAAAGGGGAAAAGGGACGCCATTTTCGATCGCTTTCTGCACTGTTATTGTACCCAACGGATTTCCCCCAAAAACAATAATAACAAAAAACGATAAACAATTCTTTTCTTTTCTTTTTTTATGAATTTTATGGACTCCAAATAAAAAAGGCTCACTACAAATTCTTAACGAGTTTGTGTATTTGTCGCTACGTGAATGCCTAACTTTTAATTATGGATTATTTAGGAGTTAATTTTAGAGTTTTTATATAAAGTTTAAATAGATTAAAAGATAAAATTAGTTAATTAAGACGCCGATGAGAGGTAGAGTTACAATCGTGCACGAATGATGCCACATTGTGGGGCTGATCTATCAGATCTAAATCAATATCAGGCTGAGTTGTTTAGAAAAAGAAAAAGGAAAAACATCATAATACACCGCGGAGATTCCACGTAATTATTTAGAACTTTTGTATAGCAATTGTTACGTCTAACAATAATACATTAATTCGTCTTGTTATCATAGGGGTATGCCCGAATGGGGTAGGGGGTTTGGATTTAAATTATTTTATGATCGATCGAGTTAAATTAATTTTTATGTTCTTATATTTTTTTTAAAAAATTTAATTAAGTCTTTGAAGATAAAAATATCTTCAAAAGATTCTTATAATTTAATTTTTCAATTAAATCATTTAGTTACATACAATTACAATTCTCTTAATTAAATCGGATAGTGTGAGATGTCAGTTATTTTGTAGTATAATTTATTTTTATAAACACGTAATTTCTTCACAATAAATTATATGAGAATACATGATCGAATATAGCTATAGTCTTTAACGTCATTATTAACATTTGAAGCCCTAACTAACTCATGGTGCTTAGGAATGTAGCTGGGTACAGATAATTTGCAAACTTAAACTGATCCAAATCAATTTAATAAATTTAGATCAAATTTTTTTAGTGTTTGAACAGACCCAACTCAACCCGATCAAAATATGACACTGTATGGATTGGATAATAGAATTAATGTTTTCAACCTATTATTGACCCACCCAACCCGTCATATATTATTATTATTATTATTATTATTATTATTATTATTATTATTATTATTATGTTTAAATGATCATTTACTTAGGATAATACTCACTGTTACTCTTACTCTTAATAATAAATTTTGTGTTTTAGATTGATAGCATTATAACAATATAGTATATTTATTTTAAATTAATTAATGTTGATTTTTTGAGTTGATAATAATGTAATAAAATTAATAATTTATTTTAGAATTTAATTTGTATCATTGTTTGCTTTATAAGTTGATAACATATCAAATGATTTACATCTATTTTAAAATATTTAAATTTTTACAAAAAATAAATTAATATAAATATACTGACCCGATTAACCTAATTCAATCCATTTGTGATTGGGTTGGATTGGATTGGATTTTAAAAAAATTGCACAAATCCAATCTAACCCAACGTAATAAATTTTGATTAGATTGGTTCCCAGGTTTATCCAAACCCGATATAACCTACCTTGCTTATACCCTAGATATTAAAACTTAGTAGTTTTACATTTACATATAATGTACTTGTTAAGTTGTTAAGTTTCTGTTTTGTTAAGTTTCTATTATCACATACTCATAAGTGTTCTTAGGTTGTTACGTTGTTATTTTATTATTTTTACGTGCCTATTTTATCGCTTTACAGTATGGCACTTTCAGCTTTGTCGTTATTGTAAAGGTTTATATAAGCCACCTCTGTTTATGGAATAAATCATTCTCTCGTTGCATCATTTCGTGTCTTGTATACTTTGAGCTTTTACAATTGGTATCAGAGCTCCGCAAGGGGCCTGGTACAGAGTGTGATTATAGAGTGCTGTGAGAGAACCACAAAACATCCAAGTGTGAGAGTACAGTACGTGGAAAAGGGAGATGTCTACCACAGAGAGGTTCGTGCAACCGGCCATACCAAGGTTCGATGGCCATTATGACTTTTGGTCCATGACGATGGAAAACTTCTTACGAAGCAAAGAATTGTGGCAGCTCGTAGAAGAGGCCATTCCAGTGCTTGACGCCACATCCATTGAGGTTCAACGCAAGAGTGTTGCAGAGGCCACTCTAAAGGATCTAAAGGTAAAGAATTACCTATTCCAAGCTATTGATCGGGGGATTTTGGAAACCATATTAGACAAAAGTACATCGCAAGCAATCTGGCAATCCATGCAGAAGAAATATCAAGGCTCAACAAGAGTAAAACGTGCTCAACTTCAAGCACTATGCCGTGAGTTCGAGCTTTTAAGTATGAAAGAAGGGGAGAAAGTAGATGCATACCTAGAACGCACTCTCAGTATAGTCAACAAGATGAAATCAAATGGTGAGAAAGTAGATTCTAGCACGGTAGTTAGCAAGATACTTTGATCGCTAACTGCAAAATTCAACTACGTGGTGTGTTCCATTGAGGAGTCTAGCGACTTAAGCACCCTCAGCATTGATGAACTTCATGGCAGTTTGCTTGTCCATGAACAAAGAATGCAAAGTCTTCAACCAGAGGAACAAGTATTGAAAATCACTTATGATGACCGATCTGGAACAAGCTGTGGCCGTGGTCGTGGATACAGTCGTGGCCGGGGGAGAGGTCGAGGCCGACAACCATTAAACCGAGCACTCATTGAATGCTTTCACTGTCACAAGCTCGGCCACTTTCAGTATGAATGTCCCGAGTTTGAAAAAAAGGCTCACTACGCAACATTTGACGAATCAAAAGAAGCAGAAGATGAGCTATTACTAGCAACATATGAGGAGATGCCACAATCTGTCCAAGAGGAACACTGGTTTTTGGATTCCGGCTGCAGCAATCACATGACCGGAAACAAGCTTTGGTTTACAAAAGTGAGCGAAGAGGGATTTAGTCGATCTGTTAAACTCGGAAACAACACAACAATGGTTGTCACTACGAAAGGTAGCATTCGAATTCAAATTAATGGCACCTCTCATGTCATCACCAATGTTTACTATGTTCCAGAGCTTAAGACCAATCTCTTAAGTCTAGGGCAACTCCAAGAGAAAGGTTTAGCTGTTCTATTTCAAAATGATACATGCAAAATATACCATCCAGATCGAGGACTGATTCTTCACACCAACATGAAAGGTAACCGAATGTTTTATCTGACAGCTTCGATGACTTCTCAACCTCTCAGGTGCCTTCAAACTGAGGACTCTTCAGACAGGGAAACACAATTGTGGCACAAACGCTTTGGACATCTCCATTTTAAAGCACTAAACATACTTGCGAATAAGCAAATGGTGATCAGTCTGCCACAAATGAAACTTCCTCAAACACTATGCACTACATGTCTTGTGGGCAAGCAACATAGAGACACTATACCAAAGCAAAGCTCATCGAGAGCTTCAGCAAAACTTCAATTAATTCATGTTGATGTCTGTGGTCCGATCTCACCTGCCTCACACAACAACAAAAGGTACATATTAAACTTCATTGATGATTACTCACGTAAAACTTGGGTCTATTTTTTACATGAAAAATCTGAGACTTTCACTGCATTCAAAAGTTTTAAAGCCTGTGTTGAGAAGGAAGCGAACACCCACATCACTTGTCTCAAAACAGATCATGGTGGTGAATTCACATCCAAGGAGTTTGAGAATTTTTGCACACAACAAGGCATCACTAGGAAATTGACAGCTGCCTACACCCCTCAACAAAATGGAGTTGCAGAACGCAAGAACCGCACCATCATGAACGTTGTACGAGCTATGTTACACGACAAGCAGGTCCCAAAACCCTTTTGGCCTGAAGCGGTGCGTTGGTGCATACATGTTCAAAATAGAAGTCCCACTTATGCCATTGATCAGCGAACCCCAGAGGAGATATGGAGCGGAATCAAACCACGAGTTGATTATTTTCGAACATTTGGTTACATTGCTCACGTGCACATTCCAGATCAAAAAAAGAAACAAGCTTGATGACAAAAACCACCCGTGTATTCTGCTGGGTATAAGTGACGAATCTAAAGCATACAAACTATTTGATCCTGTTATGAAGCGTGTAATCGTGAGTAGGGACGTGGTGTTTGAAGAAGATAAAAGCTGGAATTGGAATGAAAACACATAAAGAAGCAAAAGTGAAGTTCTAGATTGGGAAAATGAAGCAGTCACAGTAGACCCAGTAAATGAAAATGCAGAATCTACATCACATGAAATAACAACTAGTGATGAAGAAGTACACAGATCAGCTTCCAATTCAGAACACGTTGATTCCTCAACAGAAGTTTTGGCTCCAAGATCACGAAGACAACCTGCGTGGTTGTCTGATTACGACACCACTTTTCCAGTAGAAGAGGAAAGCTTACTGGCACTAGTGATGACTGAGTCTAGAGATCCCTAGTCATTCAAAGAGGCTTGTACAAATCAACAATGGAGAGAGGCTATGGATGCAGAGATGAAGGCAATAAAAAGGAATCATACGTGGGAACTTGTGAATCCGCCAGAGGGGGTAACAACCATTGGTGTCAAGTGGATTTTTAAGACCAAGTTTAATGAAAGTGGCCACATAGAGAAGTACAAGGCTAGACTAGTGGCCAAAGGCTATGCTCAACGATTTGGAATAGATTATACAGAAGTTTTCACCCCAGTTGCAAGACTTGACACCGTGAGACTGATATTAGCTCTAGCTGCTCAAAATGCATGGAAAGTAATGCAACTTGATGTCAAGAGCGCCTTCTTACATGGTGAGCTTCAGGAAGAAGTGTATGTCCAACAGCCTGAAGGTTTCATCAAGAAAGGAAAAGAAGATCACATCTACCGTCTCAAGAAAGCACTATATGGGCTTAAACAAGCTCCAAGAGCTTGGTATAGCAAGATCGAAGCTTACTTTGCAAAAGAACGCTTTGAACGATGCTCCAGTGAACACACCTTGTTCACAAAAAGGATTCATGATAATATTCTGATTGTCAGTCTCTAAGTTGACGATTTGATTTTCACTGGCAATAGCAAAGACATGTGTGACGAATTTAAAAACTCAATGAAGGCAGAATTTGATATGACCGACTTAGGCCATATGAGACACTTCCTTGGAATCGAAGTTATACAAAGTAACACAAGAATCTTCATTTGTCAAAGACAATAAGCTCAATATGTACTAGCTCGATTCAACATGACTGAAAGCAACTCAGTGCGAAATCCAATTGTACCAGGCACAATACTCTCCAAGGATATTGAAGGTTCTGCAGTCGACGCTACCAAATTCAAACAAGTCGTTGGGAGCCTCATGTATCTAACAGTGACCCGACCAGATTTAATGTTTGGAGTAAGTTTAAATAATCGATACATGGCAAATCCAAAAGAGTCACATTGGGCTGCAGCAAAACGAATATTAAAATACCTCAAAGGAACCCTCGAATATGGTATATCTATCAAGGGAAAACAAAGACTGGTCTCATGGCTTATAGCGATAGCAACTATGCAGGTGACTTAAACGATAGAAGAAGTACCTCTGGAGCAGTGTTTTTGATTGGAAATGGAGCAGTTTCGTGGATGTCAAAAAAACAGCCTGTGGTTGTAACATCGGTGCCCCCCGGGCCTCTCTGAGTTCCCCATGACGCGAAGGCCCCGATGCACGTGCCAAATCGCCGCCGTTCGTGTTGCAGTTTAGCCCCAATTTTCCACGGCTGATCTGTGTCAAAGTATAATGGAAATATATGGCTTAGATTTAACGTGAATATTAATCTAACAAATTGTTTCTTGCGTTTGAAATACTGGAAGGGTGACTGATAATCGGATACTCGTATAGTCCATTGAATAACTGGAGGAAAATGGGGAATAACATAGATCTTCGAATAAAATAAATATATCATTAACTGTACAAAATTTTAAACATAAAACTCAACATTGGTGTGACAGATAAGATCAAGGCAGCACCGGCCGCATATGAAAATTGCATAAATGCATTAACTGATAGTCTAACAAGAAGCTCATATGCGCAGGCACAGCCAAGCGATTCCCAGCCCCATTTCAAAGCATGCAAAAGCAGTCATACACTATTCACTACCATAACTTCATAAACTACCGAACTGCATTTTCTTCAGAATCTGATACACTAATTCCAAGCATTCATGCAATCATCTATATCAAGTGCCAAGTGCCAATAACTAGCCCATTTAGAAGTAACTCGCAAGCCAATAGCTAAAGCAACAAAAAGTGGGATTGGAAGCCTCATTTCTCTTGATTTAACTTCTCCAACTTCTTCCCCTACTGAAAGCATTTTCGAATACTGATATATGGCTAAGGCCGTGTATGAAACAATCACCAAAACTAAGCCAAGGATCCCAGACACAAGCAGAAAAACAGAAATATTACAGTTCGGTTAGTCAGTTTTACCACTGAACTTCATTTAAAGTATACACTTCCTGCAACTAATGATAGAACATAAAAGTTCGTCCCGAGCTCTAATGGGCTATTTGCAGGCTTTCAAAAAAAATAAATAAATAAACATGAACCAACAGAATCAGCCCACTGTTGTACCATAAGGTAAAAAAAAACACCAGCAACCACAATATTTTTTCAAATAATGGAAACAAAACAGAAACTAAGTACCAATTCCGATTCAATATGAGCACTCAAAAACATAATTAAAAAAAAGGTAATTAAAATTGAGCAAATTGAAAAGAAAAAAACAAAAAAAAAATATTATATATAATTTCAAAATAAATGTAGTGCTGTTATTTGACTCCTATCTCGTGGGTTAAACAAGAGACGAAGCAGATGACAACACTCAATCTATGAGTTTTTCAGACCCAGAACCAATTAAATAGGCACAGGGTATAGTTAAAACTCAAGTCTAATTGGATTAAAAAAAAATAGACCTAACCAACACAACTTTAACACAAACAACTGCAAAAATACTAGGTAACCTCAGATTGTTCCTAGATGCTATTGGAAATGTAGTAACACCAAGTAGGTTCACCCTGAAAACAGGGTCTTGGATCAACTACAATCCCTAGCAAGTTGGATTGTCACATCATTGGTGAATTTGTAACATGTTGTTACCAAAAGCTTTACGGACTACTTTAAAGCATTCAAAATTGGGAACTAAATAATAATAATTAAATCACTTAAATCTATAACACAATTTCACAGAGTATAATGCCTCAGTTAAATCCCTTGTTATCACATGAATGTAGCTTCACCAAGTAGGTTCATCCTGAAAACAGGGACTTGGATCCACAACACCTCAAGCAAATTGGATTATATCATCATCAGCAACCTCATGAACAGCAAACTACCAAATCACAAAATAATAAATCCCAGCTATTAAATTAAACAATTAACTACACAATTAAATAACAAACATTAAAACAACAAAAAAAATGATAGAACAATGTCGAGAAAGGCTCAGAGATACATAACAGCTCTATCAATCACAAATTTTCAGAAGCAGAACTGGCATAAAGCTGAATAGAAATCATCATAGCCAAGTTTTAAAAATCAAACACACTTCCTAAAGTAGAAACATATTGAAACAGATAACAACAAAAAAACATTTTTAAAAGAAAATTATCATACCATGGCTCATATCAAGAAATTCAACCATTTGAACCAATTATGCTTCAGTGCCGAAACTCAGAAGCGCGGATAATACAAAATCATCGCCAGTTAATTCCAACAAAAAAAAAAACTCTAAATCGAATAAATAATGTGACGATTGTTTTCAGAGGAACAAGGACGGAGTCACTGCCCAAGCGAAAACAATCGCGGTTCAATCTGCGCCTCTAGGACTAGCTTGGGTTTCTACTGTATATGTATGTTGGGGTAGAGGGTGTCACAGTGGTAAGCTTATCTACCACCGAGGCTGAATACATTGCCGCAACATCTTGTGCCTGCCAGTGTATTTGGATCCAAAGAATTTTAGAACACCTTGGTTTAATAGAAAAGGAAGCAACTGAAATTTTATGTGACAAAAGCTCTACCATTCAATTATCCAAAAATCCTGTCTTCCATGGAAGGAGCAAGCATATAACAATAAGATTTCATTTTCAAAGAGACTTGGTTAATGATCAAGTAGTTCGATTAACGTACTGTTGTTCCAATGAGCAAGTAACTGACCTAATTGTAAGACCCACTTTCCTTTATTCTTCCTTTACTATTCCCCCTCACCCTCACCCTCTACTCTTGCTCTCTTTTCTCCCCATTCCTTTCAAATTTCTGATTCCCTGTGGTGGACTTGTAGTGGAAGGTGCTGATCATAGAGTAGATGGAGCTAGCTGAACCGGAGTCATCTCGCTTTCTTCTCCATTTCCTCTCTTTTCGTTGTCCCGAAGCTCGGAATCTTTGCCCGAGGTAAGGGAAGCTAGTTCTTGTGGATTTTTGGTTGCAAACAAGTTCAAGGAACTCAATTTCTGATTGATGGTTGTTGATTCTTGGTGGTGATTTGCTAAAAATGGATTTTTGGGAGTTTGGGGTTTCATTGCAAAAATTTGGGTTTTCTTGATTCTATGGTTGCATGTTGGAAATGAGAGGTTTTTCGTGATGCTTGATGGAAATGTAGTATTTTGGGCCGATTGCATGTGGGTTTTCCTGGTTATTTTGCAGGTTTTGATGAGATTTTCGAAAGTTTGAGGGTTGCTGCTGGGTATCACGCCGGGCGTAGTTCTTCGCGCCGGGCGCGTGACCATTAGAGACTTCATTTAGGCAAGCACGCCGGACGCAATGGTGAATGCGTCGGGCGGGCTTGAGGATGTGAGTCTCTGGATGGCCCTCGTTGGGCGTGGTGGAACCGTGCCTTTTTTTTTTTGTTGGAATTAACTGGCGATGATTTTGTATTATCCGCGCTTCTGAGTTTCGGCACTGAAGCATAATTGGTTCAAATGGTTGAATTTCTTGATATGAGCCATGGTATGATAATTTTCTTTTAAAAATGTTTTTTTGTTGTTATCTGTTTCAATATGTTTCTACTTTAGGAAGTGTGTTTGATTTTTAAAACTTGGCTATGATGATTTCTATTCAGCTTTATGCCAGTTCTGCTTCTGAAAATTTGTGATTGATAGAGCTGTTATGTATCTCTGAGCCTTTCTCGACATTGTTCTATCATTTTTTTTGTTGTTTTAATGTTTGTTATTTAATTGTGTAGTTAATTGTTTAATTTAATAGCTGGGATTTATTATTTTGTGATTTGGTAGTTTGCTGTTCATGAGGTTGCTGATGATGATATAATCCAAAGATCG